TTGATGGACTGGTCTAGAAAAAGCTGATCTGCTGAGATTTTCCCCACAAAACCATCTCAAGGTTTTACACACAATGGTCCAAAAAAGAGAAACTATCCAGCGAGTGGCAATTCTCTGGAGGGGGGAAATGCCTTACTGATGTCAGAGGTCAGGGGAGAATGGCCAGACTGCTTCGAGCTGATAGGAAGGCAACAGTAACTCAAATAACCACTCATCACCACCAAAGCATGCAGAGGAGTGTCTCTGAAGGCACAACACGTCAAACCTTAGCAAAATCTCTGAGGAATGCTTCCAGCACCTTGTTGAAGCCGCGCCGCCAAGATTTAAGGCAGTTTTAAATGCAAAACTGGTCCAATCCGGTTCTAGCAAGGTGCAAGTAATAAAATGTCTGTTTACTGTGTGTTTTCAAATATTGAAATCCATCAGAAGTTAGACATAGTGCTGGAATGTAGTTTTAAAAGTGAATGGGAATTACTATGTGAATAGGCATTAGCCATATATTACAGTTGTCCCTGAATCTACACCACAAGTTCTTTTCACATTCTCAGATGCACAAACTTTTAAACCAGATGAAATGAATGAAAAGAGGCTAATACATTCATAAATCACAGCACCATATCAGATCTAAATATAAGAGAATCTTTCAATTGAATTCAGTTGAATTCAGGCTTATTTATATAGCTCCAAAACACAATATCAGTCTCCTCAAGGTGCTTTATATTGTAAGCTACCTCCAATAATAGAGAGAAAAACCCAACAATGAGGGGACCCCCTATGAGTAAGCACTTGGCAACAGTGGAAAGGAAAAACATACTTTTAACAGGAAGAAACATCCAGCGGAAAATGGCTCAGGGAGGGGCGGCCATCTGCTACAATCAAGTGGGGATAAAGGAGGTAGACAGGACAACAGACACTTAAACACATCGTTGGTCAGGTCCAGTAGTTACCTGAACTAACCATGCCTGCTCACGTATCTGACATCCGTTTTGCCAAAGCAAATTAGGTATGGTTTTTTTCTGCCTCCATTCACTAATAAAGGGTTAACTTTTGGAGAGGAAAGAGAATGGCAGAGTGAGGGAAAGATTTCATTTAAAGTCTTTTTTTCCATTTGCACCTCACAAGCTCTTATACTTATTTAAAACACACACACACAGTGTGAAAATATTAATCAGCCATGGTGGCATTCACATCCTCTGGCTGGCACCGTTTACCCCTTATCTGTATAATCCTGTGATGCTGCTTACTAACTGGAAGCCTGTATTAGACCTGCCTGTACCACACACTAACATTTCCACCTCAGCTCTTTTTTCTTTATTACAATATTGCACTAGAACCTTTTTTGGCAGTTACACTGCAATTGTTGCTGGCAGACAACACCTTTTCCTTTCAAATGCCTAATGCCTATTTATATAGGTGTTTCTGATGTTTCACTTCCCCATCAAACAAGGCAACAATGCCAATACTGTAAGCTGCTTTCATTCATCAGCTGAGTGATAAATCCACCCAATAGTGTGTGGGTGGTATGGGCTATGTTCTCTGGGTGGTCATATTTGGGAAACGTGAAGTCCAATAAAGGTGTATAATTTGGAGGGCATTTTTATCCACCCTCTACCAGATGTAAACAAAATGTCCCGAGGTAAGCAGCTGTTGCAACACTAGATGGATACATTTACAGGCATTGTCTTCATATTCCTGGTTGGCGTGGAAGTCTTACATTTAACGAATTCCTCTGGTAACTCTTCACAAATGGAGCTCAGTGCTGCCTGAAAATTTCCATTTGGCAGAAGATTCACTTTGTGGTGCTCGAGCTCAGGAGGTAGCCGAGCTTTTGCCACGATGAATTTGTCTCACGTCTCGTGTGCTCTTGTTGAAATCGCCATGCCGACAGTTTCGTCAGGGTATCGGCGCTGGTGTAACTGTATGTAACCGGTTAAACGGCTCAGCGAGACCCTTTGAGTGAGATGACTGACAGAGGGCAGCAGGGAAGAAAGAAAGGAGCGAATGAGTGTTCTGGCTTCTTGACCTCTTAGCATAAGAAGTCTTCTAAGTTCAAACTCCAGCGATTACAAGCTGAGCTGGTATTTAAAGTGGGCCTAACCCCTCCCAAACCTACCCCCACCCCCCTCGCCCTCTCCCTCGCTCCATTCACTTCAGGCTCGTGTGACTTGTGTGTGTGTGTGTGTGTGAGACAATGTCTGCGACTTCAGTATGAGAGTACATGCCACATGAACCTCAGTGTGTGTGTGTGTGTGTGTTGTCGTTTAGTAGAGTAGGTGGGCAGGGTCAGGGGTTGCTTAGTGGGGTTCTGGAGCCAGTGGGCCTTCTTCATTGTTCAGGCTGGAACAGCCAAAGGGGGGCAACGAGTATTGATGCTGAAGGTATTGCCTGCTTACGGTAGGGGGTTAGCAATAAGTGTGTGTGTGTGTGTGTGTGTGTGTGTGTGTGTGTGTGTGTGTAG